GTGGTAGTACAAAAGAGTTAGATTCTATTGTATCATGGGTTTAATCTTCTTTTGAAACAAAGAGACATTTTTTAAAATAGGAATGGACTAAAGACTGATTCGGGATATCGACAGAGATTATATATGGGTCAAAGGTCTATAAGTCTATAACTCCTGCTGTTTAACAAAAAAATGGAGAATGATCAACATATTATTGACACAATGTATAATACTTTCTCTTTTTTTTTGCTTTTTCAGAAATTTTTATGGTAAATTTTGATTCAAACCTAAACTATTTTGAGTCAAAGATGAATTAAATATATATATTTAGATATTACTTCGTTGATGGTGGATGGATAAATTAAAAACCACTTAAATTGTTTTCCATTTGGCTTTACTTAATGTTAAAAATATCTTTAAGGATATTTTAAAAGCATTTTAAGATACTTAATTAAAATATCTTTATAGATATTTTTAAAGGCATGACAGTTTGCTTGTATTTAACCAAAAAAAAAAAAAAACAGTCGTCTTGTGGAACTGCAAATAATTAATGGATCGACATGCCACATTCATCAAAGTCAAAGGAATCTTGCTACGTTTCAAATCCTACCATTTTAAGATTATAATAAGTTAAATTACGCCACATCCATGAGATACATCGAAGTCAACGGAATCATGCTACGTTTCAAAACCTACCAATTTGAGATTATAATAAGTTAAATACGTATTATTATTATACAGATGCACTGAACATTTATACGCCTCTTCTCTTTGAAGAGAAGAATAACATACACACATGACAGACTGCAAATTGCAATTTACGAAATGTCAACACACTCAGCTAGCTTCTTCTTTTTTTTTTTTTTTTTTTTGTAATGATACGTATTTTTCTATATGGTTTCCGTATATTTAACATGCGACCGGTAGCTTTCACCAAAAACAAGACATTATAATTACTAATTTTTTTTAATATGCTCATATTTTCCTTCAAATACATGTAATTTCTATTTGAAAAATGAGCCAACTTTTCAATTAATTTTGTTTTTTCTATAAGAGTGATTTCATTTAGTTCTTTTTGAATTTCTAAGACTTGGATGAATCATTTACCACTGTGTAATTCAGTTTATGCGTATCTTATACTGGCAGGAAAACGATCTATTTTCCCCCGAGAACTATCACATCACACTAGATCCATACTAATCTACGACTTCGTGCTAAATATCCCAGAAAAATTACTTCTCAACTTATATCTCCCCAAAATAATAGTTTAAAACCTATATCTCTCCGAAATTATAGTATGTATCTCCATAAATCTTGGTTTTCATCGATTTTTGGTTTACAAAACAAAATTAAACCACCTAAAAACCATACTAATTAAACCGAGTTGAAACCCAATTACAGCAAATAACCATCACCGCCACAAAACTCACACCGCCGTTGTTATGGATTTTTCCACATAAGAGGTGCTCGTTTAGATTGTAGCTTACCTGATACACTTGCTCACAGTGTCTGCATTGTACCTCTCCGATGATGGTTATGTATCTTATCACGTATATTCGCCAGCACCGCTCATGGAAACAGTGGCGGAATCATATAAATTATTTGATTTCCTACGGATTATGATCTGTTTGGTCTCATCACTGGTCTCGCCGGAGTTGTTTGAGCTGACAGAGAGAATACATGAACCGGTGGTTGATTCTGTTCAAGAGAATTGCTTAGATACGACGGCGACGCCATGAAATAAGCCGGAGATGAATAATCAGCCATCAAATCCTAGCCGTTGAGGAGCAAAAGGCGATGGTGACTCGGTGATGGTGGTCCTAGACGAAGCGGAGATGACGTCACCGGTGGAATCTGAGAAGAATACGATGTTGTAGCTAAGCTTAAGGAGACTCATTGTCGACATATACGTTGTCGTTTTGAGGTTTTTCAAATTTAAGATGCATCCAAATTAAATCTGCAAAATCATGGGTTGGTAAGGAAGAAGAAGAAGAAATTGGTAAGATATGGGTTGGGTCGGGTTTTCAATTCTCAATTCGATTTTATTGGGTTGGGTGGTTTTCTAACAGGTTTAGCTCGTAAACCGATTAAACCCAGATTTATGGAGAAATAGGTGAAAACTATAGATTTGGAGATATATAGATTGAGAAATAAATTTTTAGGGATATTTAGCACGAGGTCGTAGATTGGTGTGGATCTAGTGTGATGTAAATACTTCTCCGAGGGAAATAGATCGTTTTCCCTACAGTGGTACATATACTTTAGCTTCAAATAATTACTCAGAGCCATTGTTTAGCTTAATTGTTGGCGCTTTGAACCGACTATAGTGATATATGTGTCTTCTTATACAAAAGTTTGATGAACTTGATGGGTAAGGTCACTTGCCATTCGGTTTCATTTAAGTAGTATGACCACACTACTTGCTATATCCGTATAAGCGAACGCTTGCGTTTAGTGGTCATACAACGAAAGATCTGATTCTTAGAACATTCGAGTTTAGTATGATTTGACAGATTTCTACAGATTTAAATCCGTAAAGAGTTTCGTAAAAGCGATTGTTTTAACCGGAGATAACTGAGTTTTTACTAGTTATTAAAGTGGTAAAATTTAGGTTTGGAGAGGTTCAAAGAAGAACTTAATACTCTCTCTATTTCATTTTATTTAGTATACTTTAAGATTTTTTCACACAAATTAGAAATCACAAAAATCTCCTTATTTTATCTCTTTTCTATAAAAATATCATCAACTACAACTAATTCAACCAAAAAAAAAATATGCTGGTCGTGTTCTTTTGTGTGCCGCTGCGACACAAGTGGGCGACTCAAAAAACAACTTCACTTTTAATTAAATCTCAAGCCAGCGACAAGTTACAAGTGAAAGCCGATGAGAGATGAAGAGATATTGAGTCGCCGCGTCGGCTAATATTGATCGCTGAAAATTACAGCGGTAACACCATCACGAGCGACAGAGAATCTAGAGAAGAAAAACTCCCACAAAAAAAAAACCCAGCGACTGAAATAAAAGAAATGAAGTGTAATTTTCAGTAGCCGGAAGCTGTCGCTCGCGACTTGCAAAAGAACACGGCCGCTATACAATATAATTGGTCAAAAGCTATTAAATACATTCAATATTTGCATAGAGAAATAAAAACAACAATTATTTTGCAACAAAGTTTTTTCCTTAAATTACAAATATATTGAAACATAGAGGAAGTAATGTTTTTGTTTCAATAATAATATATTAAATGATTCATCAATTTGTGTACAAAAGCTTTAAATATCATTTAATTTGAAGCAAGAGAAGTACAATTTTTTAAGAATTTTTTTAAAAAATTATCTTATTAATAGCGGAGCATATAATTAGCTTTATTCATTAGTGCCATTTTCATATTTAGAAGTGTGAGATTGACGTTTATTAGTATATCATTAGCATAGTGATTTTTTAGAATGGAATTCACATGTTCAATCTCGAATTTGGAAACACTATGCATTTTTTTAAGAAGAAAAAATAATTTTTTTTTTTTGAACATCTGATTTTATATAAAAGGGCAAGAATACAACTGGTTAAACAAAAAGAACCACTCCCAACCTGCAAGTGATACAACCGAACCACTAAAAGCTACACTAAGACCCTTTCAAAGAAAGAAAGGTCTAAACAAAAAAATAAGCTTTACCAAAAAGCTAACCAGCAATCAGCACCTGAAAATCAAACAGAGGAAAAGGATCTCTCATCTACAAAAACCCCAAAAAGCCAAGAGGGATAACCTACTGCAACGTAACTATGCAGCCTTAGATCATTGGTGACACTCTGCAATGAGAGAAGTTCCTCTGTTCACAGATTTGGCTTCCACAACCAAACTCCACTCCAAACCAGACTCCACGAGTCGACGGATCTCCTGAGACTGAAACCAAAAAGAGGGCCAAGCCTTTGGTCTGTTTACAACCCCGACAAGAGTTGGGTTCTGAATTGCAAACAAAACTCTGAAAAATCTGTGGCTTTTCATACATTCCACTCCCCAAAGAAGAGACAAAAAGGCTGCCTCAAAATTGTCCTTAACATTAGTAAAAGATCTTCTTCCATGTATTAGAACCAGCCCCTCACTATCTCTTACAACCCATGCTGCCCCAGCAAGCTTAGTAGACTTAGACCAAGAAGAACCCACATTGCACTTTAGCCAATCAGGAGCAGGAGGAATCCACTTCCTCTTATCCCTCTCCCCATCCGGAATAACATGAGAAATGACTTCATCATTCACCAAAATCTCTTCCTCCGGCTCAACAATTTGAGCTTCAGTCCACTCCAACACATCTTCTCTGATTTTCATCACCAAATCCAGAGCAGACCACACTTTACCTTCAAACACCAACGAGTTCCTATTTAACCACAACCTCCATAAAATCCAAGGGAAACTCTTTCTAATATCCTCAGGCCAGTCTTTGTTATTTCTATTCACCAACAGATGGTGGATATTGGAGAAAACAGCCCCCTGATCAAACCCAAAAAGAGGACTAGGAAAATCAGAAAGTGCCCATACTTGTCTTGCAAAAGTGCAAGAGAACAGAGTGTGGTTACTGCATTCTTCATTCTCTCCACAAACTTGACAAATAGGGTCCATACTCATGCCTCTACCATTAAAAGCCTTTGCAACAGGTAAACAACCCGAGACAACTTTCCATAGGAAAAATCTGGATTTTTGGATCAGTAGGGATTTTCCAGATCAAACTTTTCAGGTTATTAGTAGATAGAAGAAAAAATAATCTGATTGAACGTTTCTTTGGAGTATCTATTATTTTTTTTTGGGCAAGGACTATCTATTATTATTTTCAAATTTTTGTTAGCTTTCTGACAAACTATTTTTCAAAACATAGAATTATCCACGGATCCACCCGGTAATCACAACATATATTTCCAGCGAATTCATGTCTGACCCATCGAAATTCGACATATGAATTAGTGCACATATGCTGATGTACCAATTTATAGTTCATGCCAAATAATTAAAACCATAATTGACATGCACATAAAAACTAAAAATTATTATTTTATTATTAGAATTGATGATAGTTTATAGGAAGAAAATGAACATCAAATATCAGCAATCATAAATGCATTGGCAAAATTTTTGCCAACACGTGCCTTTTCCGTTGTGCACCTTAAGACAATCGCTGGTACACCAATTAGCTTCACATACATCTGGGAGTGTTACTTCAAAATAGTCAACACACGTATGTCCTTGCGTCTCTTTCGTCACCATCCCTAATATAAACATTCAAACATAACTTAAATTTTTTGTTATAATAAAAGCAACGATGAAAAGAAAACTATAGAGTAAAAGAGAAGAAACGTGAAAATACATAATATAGATTTATACTTTTGAATATTAATCATATATTATGTTAAAAAAATGTGAATCAAACCTAGAACGAGAACGACCATAAAGATAGCAATAACAGTGGCTTTAGACATTTCTGATGATACAATCGAAATGAAAACTTTAAAATAAAAAGAAATGGATTTATGAATGCTCTATATATAATAAGAAATTAGATGCATGCCTCAACTATAAAAGGTAAAAAAGAAAAAGTAGATTCTGGAAATGACTAAATATCATAACAAAACAAGTAAGAAATCTCTGAAAATCAATTAAAAGTGAAAATTGACTAAAAGTGAACAAAACATATAAAAACGTCATAAAAGCAGTCAACAAATATTGAAAACTTTTTTTTAACACATTGAAAAACTTTTTCTTAAAAAAAAAGCCAATAAGTAATTAAAGATATGCTATAAATAGAAAAAATATAAAACTATGGGGAAATGTGTTTTTTCATAGCCGAAGGTCTTTTGCTAATATCTCGAGTAAAAGTGATGTTGTTCTTAGATGTGTCTTATGGGCTATGGAAAGTATGAAGAGTCATAGATTGGAGAAGATCATTTTCTCTTTTCAGGACAGATCCCTAGTTGAAGCTGTTAACAGACCAAGGGCTTGGCCTTCTTTCAAGGCTCAATCTGTGGCTTTAAAGTTGTCCCTCCGGTATTTTTTGGATTGGAAGGTTGAGTTAGAAGTGGCTGCGGCAAACAGAGGAGCAAACCTTATTGCTCGGAGTGTTACAGAAGATTCGAGATGTCAATCTTATGTTGCCTCAGGTCCTCCCGATTATTGGTTGTCTCGCGTTTTTAGTGATGAGGAAGGTTTGTCCCCTGTTTGATTGTTAGTCTTTTGTGCTTGTTTGATGCTCTGGGTTTGAGATCATTCTTTTGTTACGAATGAGTTAGTTGGTACTTGGTTGCACTTTGTGCTTAGGCTCTTATCTTGAGCTCATTCTTTTTGTATAGGCCTCTCTGGTTGGTTGTGGAGATGGTACTAGTGTAGATGGTTTAGTCTCAGTCCTTCTTGTGACTGTTTCGTTGTAATCGTTCATTTTCTATTGGTGGCTTAATATTAACTCAGATGACAAAAAAAAAGAAAAAATATAAAACTATAGAGAGAAAAACTATGAATCAAACCAAAAAAATAAATAAAAATAAAATGGTAGAAATATCACAAAATATAGACTAATTAATTTATCTTATTTAGAGATTAATTCATTAAATTTGAAAAATCACGTAAATCGGGACATAACAAGCCGCTACCACCAATTATTGATTGAGGGGGGGGGGTGGCAATGAGAATCTCATGATCTTCTAAGGCACGTTCGGTCCACGGGCCAAGCAAGTGAAACAATGGATTAAGGCATCAAAATTTTGTGGTCATTTTTGAGAGAATTGTTTTTTAGTTTTTTTTTTTATACAGAAACCATATTATAGGTTTTTTTCTAAGATCAATATTTTGTTGGGTTTTCTTTTAATCATACTTGTGGGCTTTAACTTAACATTTGTGTATATTCTATACTTTTTTATAAATATGTTAATTTTATTAAAACGAAGAGTTGATTTACAAAAGAGTTTTAACAGTTTAAAATCAATTAACCTTACCAAAAAAAAGTAAAAAAAATAAGGTAAATTTAGCAAGTGAGCATAAGTAAAAAAAACAATTTTCTTTTGCATAAAAATGAAAAAGACATACTGTTTTAATTTGCGTAAGGCATCCGAAAACGTTGGAGCGGCCCTGTTTCGAGAAAATTTCAAAATAATATGGGGCCTCAACTTTATCTCTTTCCGAAACTCTTCTAAACAAACACAACATATGCTAATGGCCTAGTAGAATAGAACATAGGCGCAAGTATAAGACATTCATTACTTATTATTACTTAGATGGGAAACAAATCACTTGGAAGACCTAAAGAAAATGCAGAAAATAATGGTGTGCATTGACGAATTCAAGTCAGTTACTAATAAGGACGTCATGAGAACTAAGGCTAATCAAGAAGATATATTACATGTATCTTTTGGACCAATGACAAGCGTCTGCACTTAGAAGTTCAAAAGACGTACTTAACATGCTGATTCTAGAGGTTATGGATAACGAATCCATTTAGAAGTCCAGTGGAAAAGATTTCTTTCAAATACAACTTAGTTTTAGCCTAAGAATACACCCAAAAATTCTAGAAGAATGAGATATAATTGTAGTCAAGATATGTGACATATGAAAATACAGATCAACAGTAACCTTTTTAATCATCATCATGGACAAGAAGAAATTTTGAATCAATTTTTTTATCTCAAAATCAGACTCATGCAGTATCTAATTTTTCAATACATAAGCCCATCTTTTTCTTTAAATACATGTAATCTTTATATGAAAAATGCATGCATGAGCCAACTTTTCAAATAAATGTTTTTTTTTTTCTTTTGGGTGAGAGTGATTCTCATTTAGTTTCTTTTGAATTTCCAAGACTTGGGGTGAATCACTTATCCTTATATTATGTACAATTTAGTTTAGACGTATCTTAAAGTGGCACATGTACTTTAGCTTAGAAGAATTACTTAGAGCCATTGTTTAGTTTAATTGTTGGCGCTTTGGACCGACTCTATAAATGTATATTTAATTATTCTACAAAAGTTTTATTAACTCGATGAGTACTTAGAGCCACTTGCCATTCAGTTTTTCCTATGTAGTATGACCACACTACTTGGTACAAGGAACGCTTGCGGTCTGAGTGGTCATACGGCGAAAGATACTAGAAACTCCTTCCAAGTAGGTACACACAAATATTAACCCGATATGTACATACTCTACACATAAAATTATTTATCCTCGTACATCTAAGGATTTGTTTGTCGACCAGCTGATACAAACGACAAAGAAAATAAGTAATAGCACTCAAGAACTCCATACTTTTCTAACCCTACCAAACCTTAGCTTTATCCGGTATAGTTCGTGACACATTTTAGCAAAACAATCATTCCTTATGGAGAAAAGGGTTTCATATCAATTTCATTATTTTCATTCTCTTGATTTAACTCTCTGTGTGTATTGATATCTTTACTCTCACACTTCTTTTCTAAAAAAACTTCATTTTCTCATCTTGATCTCATCATTAAACCTATTTTTTCTTTTCTGGTTTTCCAATTCTTTCTAGTTTCCGTCAAAATTTCACTGTTAAAATTACTAAAACTTGAAAGTCACAGAGTTATCGGAAAACATTGCACCATGTTTAAAGATTTCTATGTGTTTTTCTCTTATTTATATATAGAAATTTTTAATTTCTTCTAGCAATTGGATGCAGCCGACGGATTTTCTTACCAACATTTTTTGAGTGGAGTTGATAAACAAGAATGATAATGGCTATGTTGATTTGAGGTAGTTTTTTTTTTTTTTTTTTTTAATGATTTAGTAGTCAAACAATCTCAAATTGAATATTTAAGAAAATCGTAAATTACATATGTACAATTAGTTTTATAAATTGTTGGAAGTCTATAAATATTAGCTATGAAATGGGTTAGCGAAGTAGTATATTAGATCCTATAAAACTGACAATCCGCTTTAACAATCAAATATTAATATACCAAATGAACACAAACTTATGCGAAATTTATAATATTCTTCTGAAGGATGAAAGTAAATTAAAAACTAAAAATTTCAGTCATGTTCGTAAACTATCACAAGAAAAATCTAATTAAACTTGTTTTATGACCGTTTACACTGTACCAAATCATCATCCGCAAAATAATGATAATAATCCGCTTCATTAGTAATTGTAACCTTTTTCGATCAAACAATTCCTCTGCAAAGACTAGACTATTTCTTTTATCCAATATTACCATTAACAAACCAAAAAGAAAATTACGTGGGAGTCGAAAAAGTCAAATATCTAGAAGAAAACTTCTTCTCACAATGTTATGCTTCGAGAAATACCTTTTCCCCATTCACGTTATGTTATGCAACGTGTGAGGATGACGAGTGGACAACACATACCTTATCTTATTTTATTGGTCAACCAACCCCAAAATAGATTTTAAGACGGATTATATATATTTTGTCAACTGTTTAGATGATTAAATAAAACAGTTTCACTAAAACTTGTTAAATTGTCATGTCATGTATATTATAAAGGAACAAAATGGAACGAACCCAATTAACAATATTATTTTATTTTTTTCTTGTCACCATTGGACCATAATCAGATATAAACAGAGATTGATAAAGAGCCAACCAAAATATTATCACAATTTGACATATTTAGTAGACATTAAACTGCTTCGTGAAAATACATACTATGTGATGTCAACGAAACATATACAAAACTTTTTATATTTAATAAAGAAAACGAAATAAATAATAATTTACATAAAATAGTGAGAAATACCATTTCAATGATTTTGTCTCCTAACGTTTTCAATGTTATTTTTCTTCAATGAAACTGGTAAAACCGGTGTCCCGGTAGTCATCACTCACATCTTCTCCACCACGTGTCACTCTTATATGGTCATAAGTTTTCCCACCTTTCTACGTCCAATTCTGTATTTATATACCCTAAACCCATCTTCTTCTACATGCTCTTATTTCACAATCCCACCAAAACAAATCTCAAGAACATTTCCAGATTCAGAAAAAAAAAAACTCTCATAACTTTTTTCTTTTGTTTCTGTCGAATTTCAAATAATCAAGCAATTGTTTTTGTAACCTTGAAAGATTATGGCTATAGAAGATAACCGAAGTCACAACGATTACCTTAGGAGGATCACTTTTGCAGCGTTCTTGAAATCTAGTTCTCTCGCCGTCGAGGAAGAAACTTACCACAGCGACGGCGATCATCATAAACAAAACGCGTTTAGCACCAACAACGATTCTCAGCGTCCAAGCAACGCTTCAAGTGCTAGTAGCGACTCATCATCATCAATCTACCCATTATCTCCATGGAACCAAACTTACTATCCAAGCAACGACAACACGACGTCGTTTTCATCTGCTACTCAATCACCATGGAACCAAACTTACTCTCCGTACCACAAATCTCCATGGATTTACCAAACAAGAAACAGCGATTTCGAGGATGATCCTGATAACGGTTTAATCGGTACGGTCGTGAGACAAGAAGGACACGTGTACTCTCTTGCTGCTTCAGGTGATCTTCTTTTCACCGGTTCCGATTCCAAGAACATTCGGGTTTGGAAAGATCTTAAAGATTTTTCCGGGTTTAAATCCACAAGCGGTTTTGTTAAAGCGATTGTAATAACCGGAGATAACCGGGTTTTCACTGGTCATCAAGATGGTAAAATCAGGGTTTGGAGAGGATCAAAGAAGAATCCAGAGAGATATTCACGACTCGGAAGCTTACCAACTCTTAAAGAATTTCTCACCAAATCGGTAAATCCTAGAAACTACGTCGAAGTCCGTCGCCGGAAAAACGTTTTGAAGATCCGACATTTTGACGCCGTGTCGTGTCTGAGCTTAAACGAAGATCTCGGTTTGCTCTACTCCGGTTCTTGGGATAAGACTCTTAAGGTCTGGAGATTATCCGATTCAAAGTGTTTAGAATCAATCGAAGCTCACGACGACGCCGTTAACACGGTGGTTTCCGGATTTGACGATTTGGTATTCACCGGATCAGCCGACGGGACGTTAAAAGTATGGAAACGTGAGCAACAAGGCAAAGAGATGAAGCATGTTTTGGTACAAGTGTTGATGAAACAAGAAAACGCAGTAACGGCGTTAGCTGTTAATTTAACTGACGCTGTGGTTTACTGTGGTTCGTCTGACGGTACCGTTAACTTCTGGGAACGACAAAAGTATTTGACTCACAAAGGGACGATTCACGGCCACCGTATGGCGGTGTTGTGTCTCACCACCGCCGGGAGTTTGCTTTTGAGCGGCGGAGCTGATAAGAATATTTGCGTTTGGAAAAGAAACGGCGATGGATCGCATACCTGTCTGTCCGTTTTGATGGATCATGAAGGACCTGTTAAGTGTTTAACGGCTGTGGAAGAGGCGGAGGAAGATAACAACGACGGAGACAACGGTGGAGAGAAAGGGGATCAACGGTGGATAGTGTATAGTGGGAGTTTAGACAACTCCGTTAAAGTGTGGCGCGTGACGGATTACGCTTCGTAAGCGCGTGAAGAAGTATACGTGTGGACAACGTAGGAGCGTCAAGAATTGTTACGCGGCCATGTGGTTGTATAGCGTTTTATCGTCAAAGGAGGAATTGATTGGGAGGCAACTAGTTGGTAGATTTTGGTACTTGTGATGACTAATAGTGAATTGTCACGTTTCATGTGATTTTGTCATCTTCTTTGGAAGTGTGAAAAAGTCTTTGTCTCCTTTTGTTATTGCGTTAGATCTTTTACTCTTGTCTCTTGTAATTTCGCATGCACTTATTTTAAATCATGTGAAACTAAAAGAGGAAAGAAGGTGGAGAAAAAAAGGAAAGTAAAGATTCCGCTACAATGAGAAACAAAAAAAGATAAAAGAAATGTAATAAATGTGACTATGTAAGTTGTTTGTATATGTTTATTATGGGGTCTTTATTCTTGATGGTTGTTGTCATTGTTGAATGTGAAAATTCTATCTTTTTTAATTCTAGGTTGTTTTTATACGTTATTTTGGAAATTTGGAATATAAGTTATATAACATTGCAACTAAAGATTTGTAATACGTAAGATGGATTTGTTAGTTCAGATTGTTGAAAAGGAAGTGACCATTTGGATTAAAATTTGATATTTAATTGTTGATGAACATACGCAAGATGTTATCTGTCTACTAGCATCTTTTTATATGCATATCCATGGATTTGTATGTTTTGGTTCATTTTTTATGAGGGATTTTATTTTGGTCCATTAGTTTTATTAGAAAAGATTCTATAAATCACTTGTGTTACTTCTATGCTTATGATTTTAAATGTTCTTTCTTACAATATCATATGTCTTGTAAATTTATAAGTGAAACACGTTTGATTATGTATTTCGACGGAGTCTCAAATTCTATATAAAATGTATATTGATGATATTTAGACAGGAAAGTTAATTATTAGATCTTATTCACATGGTGCATATACATCACTAGTTTTTGTTCATAACATGACTATCGAATAACAAATTAAATACTTATTTCACCAACTTAAAACTAATCGTAAATATGTAAATCTAATGATTAAACAAATATTAAAGTTAAGTTAATCATGATATATAGTTTAGTGGTTTGTGGTAGTGAATTATTAATGTGTCATTATCCAAATTCATATTCGCATGTTGTTGATAAAAATAATATTAAAACTAAGTTCTAGAACTAGTACTAATTTGATATTCGTAAATTTGATATAAAATAATATTCAAGACAACTTTTCCCTCGGTTTTTCTCCAACATTAATAATACCGTTTTTACTATTAAATTTGGTCAAATGGGACTAGTTCCGATTTCTTATTTAAAATAGATCAGTATAAATCTTTGCTAAATGAACAAGAGATGCTGCTTTAGATCAGCTTAGTTGATTTGGTACCTAAACTTTGTTCCAGATTGTTGTGGAGAATAAACCATGCCCATAGGCATCAGCCCATGCCATAATCTCCCTGGTTCTTATTTGTTAAATGGCAAAGTTTTATGATCGTATTACGTTGATGATTATAAATTTTATCTGCTATTAATGATCATAATCGTATTACGTTGATGATTATAAATTCTATCCACTGTTATCACATAACTCATGAGTTACTGATACAAAAGAAGTAAGTTTAATGGGAACACCCTATTGATTAGTAATTAGTTTGATTTTAGAGATGATCAGTATATTAGAATTTAAGCAGACAATCTTTAGGTAGCTGGTTCGATTCCGGCATGTCGAATTTTTTTTTTTTTTTTTTTTTCATTACATTTTTGAGAAGTCTCTGTAGAATGAAAATAAAAAGCCCATAGTCCGTATAAACAACAACCAATTCTATTTAGTACTAATGAGTAATTGATTAATTTTGTCGATTTGCAACGTTAGAGTATCTCCAATGGTAAGAACCCATCACCTAAAAAATCATAGGTTCTTACCAATATTTATAATTCAAATTTTGCAAATCTAAAAGTTTAGAAACTCATTAGGAGTCTTAATTTTTATCTTCTCCAATGGTAGAACCTTATTAGAGATTCTTAAAAATTATAATTTTGAAAATTTGTGTTTAGTTGTTTTGGTTAAATTTTTTTATGTTTTTTGATTTTTCAAAAATTTAAGTGTTTTGGTTCTTAAAAATTTGAAGTGTTTTGAAGTGATATGGTTCTTAAAAATTTGAAGTATTTTGAAGTATTTTGGTTCATAAAATTTTGAAGTGTTTTGGTTCTTTAAAAAATTGGTTACAACTCATATATAACAAAATGTATGAACATAAAAGAATATTTGAGTGTATGAACATAAAAATTTGGTATGTGAAATAAAACACAAACATATACATTGATGAGATCATGACCATGCATAAAGGGTATGATAGTAGAAAACAAAATGGAGAAAAAGTTTGGAAATTTGGAAAATGAAATAAAACATCTCATATATAGTCTTGAGGAATTTACAACACTTGATATAAAGGATGATATTTTGAGCTAAAAAGGACCAGAGAGAGGATGAAAATTATTTAGTTACAAAAAAGAAAGATTGAAGGAATGACATGGCCTGTGTTAGATTCTTTTGATATCCTTCATTTGAATTCATGAATGGCCTCAAAAGGCTCTTCTTCTTCTTCTTCTTCTCAATATTACATGAAAACAAACACAGGGTTAAAGCATTATATCTAATTAGGTTATAGAGAATTAGTGAACTTGTCTGGTTTGAAGACCATGTTCTTGTAAGTGAACCACTGCCATAGAAAAACAACCATAAATAAACCACATGTTAAGGTCCATCACACAAATGAAAACAAGCTACTAAACAAGTCTTAAATATAAATGTAAGCTGAATGTTATGTATTGATAGAAACGATTTACAATATATATAGGCTTAACCATATGGTTTAAGACATTACTAATTACATTAATACCCTTCATCTACACCTTTTCTTTACACACCCTCAAGACAAGATGGAGATAGTTCCTTGACTCCAATCTTGCTATTGATCATTTGAAACCATGGTCGATGTAATGGTTTGGTTAGCGCGTCTACTAACTGATCGATTGTAGAAACATGTGACACATGAAGAGCCCCTAATTGTATATGTCCTCGCAAAAAGTGATAATCGAGAGCCACATGTTTTATTCTCGAGTAAAAAACCTGGTTGGCGCATAGGTAGGTAACGCCCATATTATCACAATAAATGATCGGCGCCTGCGGTAACGAGATTCCTATCTCAGACTAGAGAGAGCATATCAATTGTAGTTTCGAGGCCGTGTTTGCCACTTCACGGTACTCGTCCTCTGTCGAAGATCGTGAGACACTTCTTGGTTTTTTGGATGAAAACAATATCGGACAACCACCAAAATAGACGATATATGCATTCGTGGACAAGTAATCTCTGGTATCTCCAGCCCAATCCGCATCTGAGAATGCATGAACTGAGAGAGGAGCTTCAGATCGAAAAAAAATGCCTAGGGATTTAGTACCAACAAGGTAGCGCAGCACCCTCTTGGTAGCCTGCTAGTGTTCATCCGTTAGTTTATACATGAATTGAGACAATCGATTCACGGCGAAAGGGATGTCAGGTCTGGTGAAGGACAAGGTTTGAAGACTACCAATAACACATATATACTCAGTTGCATCATTAGAGAGAGCTTCGGCGAAGGAGCCATTGATATCGAAATAGGTTTCACATCAAGCATATGCGTTTTCGCGAGAAGATCAATGATATATTTTCTTTGCATCAAGTGGAGACCGTGTTTGGTGCATGTTGCTTCAATACCCAAGAAGCTCAATTCTTCTAAATCTTTGAGTGAGAACCGAGCTGCAAGAGAGACATGGAAGCTTTTGACCAGAGAATCATCACCCGCAATTATGATATCATCAACATATACTAACACATAGAGATAAGCATTCTTGTGTTTGTAGATGAACATTGATGTATCAGCGAAGGAGTTTGTGAAACCAGATTGCACAAGAAAATTTGGGTGTCCCTGATACCATGCTCGAGGTGCATGTTTCAACCCATACAACCCTTACTATAAACGACAAAAATGGTGAGGTCGATCCCGATCGATAAAACCTTGGTGCTGCTAGACATAAACCTCATCCGTAAGTGCGCCTTGTAGGAAGGCATTGTTGATGTCAACCTAGTGAATGTTTCAGTTTTGTTTAACCGCAGCTCCAAGAATTAGATGGATAGTTGTAGTTTTGATAACCGGAATGAAAGTCTCCGAGTAATCCAATCTGTACTGCTGTTTGAATCCCCGTGCAACGAGTCTTGCTTTGTACCTTTCAATAGAACCATCATGATGATATTTTAATTTAAAAATCCACTTACATGTGTTGATATTCTGCGTAGTTGTTGGCGCTTCTAAGTCCCACATGTGATTTATGATATGTGCATTTATCTCCTATGCCATCACGTTTCTCTAATTGGGATCCTTCATTGCATGCGCCACAGTGGTTGGAATTGTTGGTTTTATGGTGGCTATGAGGCTTAGCTTGTTTTTTCGGTAATATGGTTTTTAGCTCGTATTTGTTGGATAATTGAGTTTTGTGTTTACGATAGTGAAAGAGAAAAACAGAGTATGAATGTAATTGACTTTATTGATCTGAAAACTTGATTGTATTACACTCTGTTGTGTTTAAAAGACAAAGACTCGATCTATACTTATATGAAACGAAACGTTGTGTTTGTGTAATAATAAAAAGGCATGACTCTTTGATCTAAAGACACAACTGTAAAACAAAACAACTTGTGTCTCTTGAACAAATAACTAACTTATGTAAATGTGATATGATACGAGATTTGATTATCCTTCAACACTCCCCCTTAATCATATCTCGACTTCACTCCAAGCTTCCTTCTAAGATCTTCAAACCTTGTAACACTTAAAGCCTTGGTAAGTATATCCGCGAGTTGATCTTCTCCTTTGCAATACTCAAGTTGAATGAGTCCTTTGTGCTCGGCTTCTCTCACGAAATGATACTTGATCTCGATGTGCTTCGTTCTTCTATGTTGTACCGGATTCCTTCCAATTGCTATTGCTGACTTGTTGTCACATAATATGGGAATACCTTCTTCAAACTTTAAACCGAAGTCTTCAAAGAGTCTTTGTAACCATATGGCTTGGTTTGTCGCTGCACATACGGCCACATACTCTGCTTCAGCCGTTGATTGAGCAACGGTTTGTTGCTTGCTTGATTGCCAACAGAACACGGCTGATCCAAGGGTAAAAACATATCCTGATGTGCTTTTCTTGTCTTCAACGGAACCACCCCAATCGCTGTCTGAGTAGCCGATTAACCTTGGCTTTTCCACACTTGTGAACTGAACCCCAAGACTTGATGTACCTTTGACATAACGTAACACTCGCTTTGCTCCCTGGTAGTGCTTCATCTTTGGCGATGACATGTATCTTGCGAGGTAAGAGCTTGCATACATC